AAATGGGTTGCTGATGCATCTTGAAAAAGTCAAAATTTTACTATTCATTTTCAGTAGCTACGAGTAAGCCGTGTAGCTTGAAGACTTTTGAACTTTCCACATACTTTTTTTCTTAAATTCAGTAATAAAAACATACATACATACATACTTTGTGGGGACGTAGGTTTTGTCCTCACAGTGACAAAGGTCCCCACAAAGTCATTCTACTGCTATACCGAAGTCCCCATAAGTCATGTGGGATACATACATACGTACATACATACATACATACATACATACATACATACACACATACATACATACATACATACATACATACATACATACATACATACATACATACATACATACATACATACATCAGGGTCCGAAATTAACTTTTTAATACGGGCGCCAACTGGCGATCAAGTATAAATTTTTGGTCGCCAGAGGGCAAATTGTGGTCGCCAAAAATTTCCCCTCTCTATTTTTCAAATAAAAGTTTAAACACGAATAAAATGCATGGTATGGACGTTTTTATGCTCAAAAATGGCACTACTTTCGCTCCCGATACCAGAAAGCAACCGTACGTGTACGAGTGAAGTCTTATTTTTTCCACAAATTACTTTTTGGAGATATAAAGCTGTCTGACCTAGAACGCAGGAACAGAAAACTGTCTGCCCATAACTGCACTGATCATATCAAAACTCTATTTTCTTTCGATAACTACCACGAAACACGAAACATAAACACGAGTCAAGCCGCGATGCCCATATCACTGTGACAGTACCAGGCCACAACTGTGCCACATTACTCGTACCAGTCCACAACGTACATAACGTAATTACCGTATTTCAGCTGAAAACAACATAGCGGCTTGGAAACGTTCAACTCGTATTGATCGTAGCTGTTGTGGAGGTATTATTCTGATTATTACAGGAAGATTCGTTTCACTTTTAGATAAAAAATATCACCAGGACAAAAAGTAAGACACCTGTTGTCAAATAGCTTCGAGGTTTCAATTCTTAATCAGTTTCTCCGAACCTTAAAGTCCACAATAACAACTAACTTTACAAGTCGCTAGCTGGCGACCAGCTATTAAATTCTGGTCGCCAGGACTAAATTTTTAGTCGCACTGGCGACCAGGAAGGCGCAATTTCGGACCCTGTACATACATACATACATACATACATACATACATACATACATACATACATACATACATACATACATACATACATACATACATACATACATACATACATACATACGTTTTATTGAGTCTCTCTTTACTGGGCAATTAACTAATTACATGAAATTATAGGAATAAGATCTAAGATCCAATCTATGTATTCGTTAAAAATACTATTAAAACAGTAAATCAGATAGATAATAACTAATGACATTAAATATACAATTAGCCAATCTTTTCTTAAAAACCTTAATGTCTTTAATGCCCTTAAAGTCCTTAGGCAGGTCATTCCACCGTTTAGCTCCGCGAAAGTAAAAACCTCGTTGCCCCGCTGACAACCTGCAGCGTGGAAGGCTCAAGTCTCCAGACCCTCTTAAATTTCTACTATGGATTGCCAAACGTGTTATGAAATAATCAGCTAAATAACCGGGAGCCAGACCATTTAGACATTTAAAAACTAAAACTAAATCATTAAATAAAATCTTCTCGGAAACATTCAGCCATTTTAAAGATCTACGACCCTCAGAAATATGGTCAAATTTTTTTAACCCTAAAACAAGCCTGGCAGCGAAATTCTGCTCTAATTGCAGCTTATGTATGTTTGATTTAGCTGTGTTTCCCCATACAGAGGAAGAGTAAAATAACTTGCTAAAAACAAAGCTATTTATAAGTAAGATGAGTGACTTTCTGTCTAAGAAGTGTTTATTATTCATTCAAAATATTTCCCCGATTCTGATTGGCTAAAAGCACACGTTTAATTCACCATAACCAGTTACTGATGACCAAATTTGGAAGAATTTTGACTTTAACGAGGAAATGACGTCAAAAATGCAGCGTTTTCGCAGGTTAAGGCACCGTTAACCGAGAAGACCTGGGGACGAGGCTGAGTTGTTTTGGTTGTGAACTTGAAAAAATGGCGGACATTTCACTCGTTTCAAGAGTAAGAACTAGGCGAAAAAATAGCTAAAAAACATGGCAAGAACAGCAAGAAGACAACTCGAAGGGCGACATCTGCTATTTGAAGAATATTTGCGGAGCTGGACAAACCTAAATGTACACTATCGAAGATGAACTGAACATCGATGGATCGATGGAGGTAAGCGTGTTTTAGCTATGTTTTTTAACTAGGAATTATTTTGAATGAATAATAAAACAGTTATTGAATTCGGCTTTCGTATCATATGAAGAATTATGGAGATCTCGGAGGGTGTTATCCGCCTCGGCCTACGGCCTCGACGGATAACACCCTCCTCGATCTCCATAATTCTTCATAAGATACTCAGCCTCATTCATTAACTGTTAATTAATTACGAGCGACAAGAGGAGCCCGCAATTATAATCTCCAGGTTGTTATGACGCATGCGTGGCATTTATGCAGCCAGCATTCGTTTAGACTTCCCCTAAGAATGAATGGAATGCACATAACACAATTTGATCATGCACGTTTGGACCTTCTATTACTCGTAATCTGTTCACGCGTGCTTTGACCATCTGTCAAGTGCAACTTGCGCAAAGCACAGCGTTGGAGCCAAAGCCTTTTGACCGTCGATCGTTGTCGCCCGCACTCCGTAACCTTTGGTTATTACTAGTCCTATTTACCTGTACCAAAACCCATGTAACTCAGGGGTTTTGTTGTTGTTTTGTATTTGGGTACAGATTCAACTCAGCAAACCTATCCCAACGTCCCTTACTGGAGAGGAACAGATTGTAGTAGTTCCCATTCTCCATGATATACAGAACAACACGGTCCAACAAGCTGAGGTACAGCCTAAGACCACGGGGACTAGTTCGTCCGTAAGCTCAACTCATGCCGCGATCGTGACTTCAACTTTGAGGCGGTGGAGCGAAGTTACTCCGAGGACAGGTGAGGCTGCAGTCTAGATTCAGATAGTCCTTATTGGTATTAGCCGACGTTCCTGAAACGATAGACTTCTTAGCATGATTATGATGCTAATGTGGGGAGCTTCACGGCAAAAACACAAACAAGCATCACCAAATTGCTGCTCAAGTTTCAAACCTTTCCAGTAGCCACCCTTCTTGTAAATTTCGTGCTAGGGTCGTTGTTTGTGTTTGTGGTGAGAGAATAATGGTCTCTCAAGCCTGTGGTTAAGTTTTGACCTATGAATCCCTTCCAACGTTAAACGTTTCCTTTGTTTTCCGCCAAAGCAGCCGAATTTTTTTTCATGTTTGTTTGTCTTCTCGCTGAGTAGTGTCTCGCATTAACCTAGCATTTACGCGCATAGGGTGCGATTTCTCATTGAAAGGCTGGTTTTACGTTTGTGAAAGACGTGAGCATTGTTTTGACTGTTTTTAAACTTTTTTCCCAAATAAATAGCTAGGCTATTTTTGACGGTAAACCTGTTCAGTCATTCTGTGTTTCAGTCTATATTCTGTAAATCAGCAAACGATTAAACTCGCTTTTATATGAACAGTAATGTGCCAGACTTCACTTTTACAGACTGAAGGACAACTTTCCATACAAACAAATGCAGTAAAAACCGGAAACTAAGAACCTGGTTTTTAAGAACCTGTTAGGCTAAAATTTGCTCCTTAGACGCCCTCTATACAAGAACCTATTTAACCTAAAATTTGAAACTTGTTGTTATTTCACTTCTAAAATCTTTGAAAAAAATTCTGTATAATTGGGCAAATAAAATAAGTCAACATTCAGTGTCCTCTTTAGAGACATAGGTGCTTTTTTACTCCAACTGCAGTTGTAATGGTATACAGCTTTTACCTAAGGAATGAGCTGAACACCGCTAAATACTCTTAGCTACAATGTTTTTTTTTATTATTCAGAAAATAAGAACCTATTTAAGAATCTAAATAGCCTAAATTTGTTCTAATTACCATTTATGTAAGAACCTGTTTAGGCTAAATTGGAAAACTGTAGGTTCTTAGTGGCGAGTTTTTACTGTATAGGACGCCGGTGACTTAATGTGAGTCAAACTGGTTCTCCAGCGCTACTCTTACAACCACGCTCACACACCTTACACTGGTATTTGGTTTTGACTTAGCAACTGATTGGAACATGTTAAGGTAATTCACTTGAAAATGATGTACCATTCAGAGTTTTTTCAAACTTGGCACAAATGTCAGCCATATATAGGACATTCAAAAACTGCAATAAAAAGATGGGGTCACCATGCTTGTCTTCGCCCCGTGTGCTTGTAATTCTGAGTGTTTTTTTGGTCCAGAAGCCAAGGTCAGAAAATTGTAGTTTCGTTCAACCCACGGGTCAGAAAAAGTTTGACCCCGGATTTTGGTATAACAAGACCTCCTGATTATTGCCTAGTAATTTGTTGAGTCGGTTTGTAGTACAGTTTTCGATTATAAATGACTAAGATAGTACGCGCGTTCTGATTGGTTAAAAACTTATGGTTTGTTGTGCCGGTTAACTCATAGAATTGGATGGAATTGGGGATAACTCATAACACAAAGCTTCCTTCAAATTGATTTGAATAGTGTTAGCAGCAATATGTGGCCGCCAAAGAGGTCTTTGTCCGCGTTATACAGTAATAACCTTGTCATCTGCAGCCTTAACATTCACTTTTCTCGGACATGGTACTAAATGTCTTTACCTTCAAGCTTGGAACATGATCCCAAACATTTACAGTATTAATGTACAAAGTTTTTCGTCTGTTCTCGACCTTTTTCACTACTGCTAACAACTATTGCCATAGCGAGTAAATAACACAAATAAAAAAAAGGGGTCACCGTTTCCTCGCAAAACGACAACAAAGGAACAATTTCGTCTTCAAGGAGGAGACTGGGCGAGTTTCAAGACAAACAGTCTTTTAGCCTGACAGAATTATCAAAATCGCTCTTAAAAATATTAGGACTGCAAAAGGAGCCATAGTTACCTCTTTTTAGGCGACCGGTGAAAATCACCGCCACCTTTGAAGTCGCAACACTATGCGCAAAAGGTGATGCACAGAGCAAAATGATAAAACACTAGACTCGCAGAAAGGCGAATTCACTGGGCTGCTTACACTAGACAAGAATACCGGTAATGTGCTTTGCAAACGAGAGGTTTGCTTAAACAAACAGTCAACCGTCCATTGATCCCGATCCTCGGGCTTCTTTGATTGCACTGAGATTTGAAATAGACGATCCCAATTTGCGGTCTACCGTCTACATGAAAAGGCATATTCTTTTTCCACTGGTTAAAAACTTTCAGCTTTATGATTTTTCTTTAACTTAAAAGAATTAAATCCTTTGCATTTTGTGACCTAAAAGAGTCTAAAGATTTCTCGCTCGCATGTTGATTTTATCGGCACGCACTTTAAACAGTGTAAAGAGGGGAAACCATCGATCACACCTTTTTTACCGTAATGCTGATATGAGTTGAAAATTCGCTTGAGTTTGCCGTTTGTCTCACTCGTTAGTAACTTTTTTCGTGGCAGAAAATTATCCCGCTTTATAAACTCCTCCGAATTTTTGTGCCAGCTAAACAATATCGAAACATTATTAACAGTCCTTGGGTATTAAAAAGACTGAACGAAACGCACTGTAAACGCACTATGTACTCGTGAACTTGTTTAGGTCACATGTACACGACCTCTTAAATTGTTTCAAGCCATTCATCTCAATGCACAGTAAAAAACAAAAAATATTCGTCAAGGAAAAATCGTATGAAAGAAGTTTTGAGAACATACGGTATCGTTTCTTCGTGCCAGGCCTCGTGTCTTCCCTCTCCCGGGTATAAGTTTTTCTATACAGCCGATCGAAAACCAAAATTACTATTGGGCCTGCCACAGGCAGCCCCAGTAATAAGGTAGAATCTTGTTATTTTGTGCGTTGGTAAAGACATAGAGAATCCTGTTCTGACTGTGGAGATATAAAACAGTTGACGTAATCCCATAATCTCCGCGCAGGCAGGGCTGTCTTATAGATTTCAAATTGGCCGGGATTCAAAGTTATTAGTTGGTGGGGAATTACGAGGCTGTCTCAGTAAAAACCGCTCACTCAATTTCGCGTGAAAAATAATTTTGCCTAAAACTCTGTCAAGTGAAAGGCTTTATCGAGGAGATAATCTGTGGAGATATAAAACAGTTGACGTAATCCCATAATCCCCGCGCAGGCAGGGCTGTCTTATAGATTTCAAATTGGCCGGGATTCAAAGTTATTAGTTGGTGGGGAATTAGGAGGCTGTCTCAGTAAAAACCGCTCACTCAATTTCGCGTGAAAAATAATTTTGCCTAAAACTCTGTCAAGTGAAAGGCTTTATCGAGGTTTGCTTTGATTCACAATAATTTTCTGGCCGCGCTAGGGGGCGCTAAGTATTTTTGTCCCGCCGCGGCCAATTTGCACATCTTGAAAATTGAAAATTAGGCATTTTTTGCGGCGCTGTAAAATGTTTGATTTGTACCATCTGCCAATGCATTTTATACCTATTTATAAGGTAAACACCTCTAGTTTCTCATGAAAGTAATAGTTATTCGCTAAATTTAGCTGAAAAGACGAAATCAAGAAATATATGACCCCAAGTAATTGCCTCGGAGCGAAAGGCCAAAAACGACCCTGGTTTAAAAGCTTATTTTTGACGTTTGGGAAGTACTTGAAAGCTGTAGACGAAAAAGACGAAAAGATAGATCATCCTTGATGATAATTGATTTGTTTACATTCTTTTAAAGTTTGTTCCGATGAAATCAACATTTGAGTAATCAAATCTTTAAATTTTTCGGGTCGGTCTGTTCTAGTAAAACTTCTCGTTTTCATGCAACACAGGTTTTAAGGTAGTCCAGTTAAATCGCCGTTCGGCGAGTCTTGTTTCCCATTTAAGTAGCTTAGTGGTCATGCTCGTAGTTGCTGGAGGAAATCCCCGCTCCCCGAATCTTAGTGACGGCCCTTCCAGCGCGGGCGTGGTCCAGTGCTGCTTATCTACTCTACTCTTAGTGAGAAGAACTCTTTCTTGTTTGTCTGTGATATTTGATTGCAACAATCCATGATTACTAAAGTTAGACGTCTCATCATTTTGTCTAGGTGACGATCCTTGTTATTTTGCTTCTTTTTTCATTAGGTGAATGTACTATTTTCCCAGCTGTGTTGGAGCTAGCAAGAAATCTAGACATTCCGCCGCCATAAACAAACGTTGGTTAATTACAGCATTGAATTCTGTAAAATATAGATCCAAAGCTGACCAAGTCAGTGTGTAATATTATATCTAATAATTAAGTGAAAAGTAAAATGAGAAGAAAAACTAAACCTTACTCGACTTACCTGAATTTGCTTTCCCAGTTTTTGTGTTTGTCCTCGCAGCTATCGACCGACCAATAGAATGCGTTTTTCTTTTATTGAATCAAGTGCGTTGTGATCGTGTCTTCTTCTTGTGACTTTCCAACTAGGGGAGTTTTGTATTATGAGTTCGGCTTGCTTCGTTTTTTTTCTTTGGACCGACTTGTAAAAGTGAAAGAGTTTCGGAGTGTTTCCTTCGTTTCGTTTTTTAGAACATTTTATAGAAGTGCGAAGTGTATTCCAAACTTTCTTTGGTCAACGCATCTTAGAGAGCTAGAAAGCCCAAGACAAAGCATCTTTGGAAAAGTATCAATTGTTCTCTCGGAAAACGAAGTATGACCTTGTGAGGGAAGGCATGACGAAAAAAAATCTAATATGCTGTGAGTTTTAACAAATATTATGGCAACAAGCAACCTTTCGAAATCTCCTTGGTTTCCTGCCCACCGCCATACTGGGGACGAGGTTGAGATGCGCCGTGCAAAACCAGACAATCCAACACGATCTCAGAGTTCTTCTGTGTTTGACCGCACGAAGTCTGGAGCGTAACTGCGTCAGCACTGGGGTCGAGAATGCAACCGCATCCAATAATCGTTTAGTATAAAATTCAGTGTGCCCAATAAATGGCTCTCTACCAGGAGGGTTGCGTTTTTTAATGATCATGAGGTGTCTAACATACGTTTATGTAATGTTTAATAAACGAGCGGGAGGGTTGTATCGGGGACCCCGATAAAATCTGACCAGCGAGTTTATTGAACGACCTCAAAAAATACCTGGAAAAGCGTGTCTTCAATAGAGTTGATAACAATGAACGTTGGAAATCAGCATACGAAAAAAACATTACCTATAAAATTATGTAAGAAAATCGTGTTTAGAAATTTTCCAGTCTACGAACGACACTAACCAAAGAGGACATCGCGTCTTGTTCCAGAGCTTTCCGGAAGCCTAAAAATGCCGAGGAAGTTAATTGGAAATGGTACTCCAAAGTCAACTATTCCACTGAAAAAGTATTCTTTGAAAAAATTCTTCTGGAATGGCCGAATGGTAGGTAAACAAAAATCCAGTACTTGAGCTTTGCCTATTCACAACTCGCAAGTCTTGAGTGCAACGCTTGGACACTGCTATAGCCAATATTACCGCTGTGTCACCGAACTTTTGGCTGATTAAATTGGTGAAAGAACAAAGTTTATTATATAGATACTGATGAAATTCCAGGATTTTTCCTTTTACTAAAAAGTCATATCTTCATCGCGCGCAATGAAGATACTATTTTTATATTTCACGTGTGAGGATATTGGTGTCCCCATGGTTACTAACATAATTAGCCAATTATTGTCTTTATTTCTTCTTTATAACTTTATATCCGAGTTTCATAGCATTTTTGTGACAGGTATTTTGCGATAGGTGACCACCTTAATTGCACTATTTTGCTGTTTCGAAAATGAATTAAAAAAGTGTGTTTTATGCAGGAATTTCATCGGTATCTATAAAATGAACAGAACATTACATGGCCGCTTGGGGATACGAATTTTATCTTCTCGTGCTGAAAGTATCTCTCACTCGTTGGCTTCGCTTACTCGTGAGAGATACTTTCAGCACTCGAAGATAACATTCGTATCCCCGCGCGGCCATGTATTATCCTCTATTTAATTTTTTGCAATAGTAAATTTACGGCGTGTGTTATTTTGAAAGAATATTAAATATTCACCCACCATTTGTTGTGTCAGTTGTCATAGGTCACGTGCAAAGAAATGAAATGTCAGCCTTATTAGTAATTTTTATATAAAGAATGCTAATGAGGATGAAATTTTTAAATTTTGACAGCGTTTTTCCGGGGTTTAAATCATGAGCAAGTAACGGATTTTAGCAAACGTGATAAGTTGTTGGACTCATGAATTATTAATGAGTTTTTGAAATCCTCTGAAAATGGCTACTTACTTAGAGTGTTGGGTGGAAAGTGCGCACGCAAGCTTCTGTAGCTACTATATTCCGGGCTCGATTTTTGAAGACCTGTTTTAAATTCTTGAATAAAGTGGCAAACAACCCAAAGAACCATTGAGGCAATGAAATCGCTAGCGAAATTCCCAGGATGCCAACTCGCGCGCGAAAAGAAAAACATGAAATCACAGTCCGCCCACTAGGCTGGGCTTCCGGTGAAAACGAGGATACCTCTTTAACGAGTTAGGATTTCGAGTTGGATTTTCGAGTTAAGGAATGATCAGCGGTTTACACATCGTCCTCTTTCGAAGTACATAATGTATAGGGGTGAAGAAGGTCTGTGTTGCAAACCGAAATATCGGGCAAATATTATTCACCATTTTATTTTTGTTTTCTTTCTTTATTTTTCCTATCAGTTATCACCCTTCCTGCCGTAAGGATAAGTCTACTGTCACGGGACGTATCTCCCCGATTTATGAAAAATATTACAAGTTAATTAAAGTTCTATATATCTTCCCAATGATTTTTAAAGTAAAACCGATATCTAATTTGATTTAGCTAAATGTATCCTTGACGGAATAAGTAAAACATAATATCAATAATCAACATTTAAAATATAGAACGGTAAAGCATGAAATATATTTTATTGATTGCTGACAAATTTTATATGATCAAGTTGAAATATATACCGACATATATCGTTGTAGAAAGCTTTTTAGGTTCTGGCACATTTTAATTGTCCGTTAATAAGAATAAAATAGATATAAAGCACAATGAACTAATACTAAGAAGAATAAATTCTAAAAAGTGTGCTTTCCTGCGGCACGGAATCAGAACATGTGCACCATTCTTTAGTTGGTTACTAACCAAGGGTAACTCCCATTTGTACCCACTTGTACCTACAAATCATTCTTGTACATTCAATGATCTGAAGACTGTAACTAACTTACGAATTTCCCCTTTCGTAAGTTCGTAAGTTAAGAAGGTTTTGGAGAGTGGGACATCATGTCTCCAAACTTGACGTCCCTCAGAAAACGCTTCTCTTTAAAATAAAAGTTTTTAGTAATTAACGAAGGAACCCTAAGATTTAAGGCTAGATTTTGTTGAAAAGGTTTTCTGTTTTTAGGGATTATTTGATTAAGGTTAGGAAGTTTTGTCGTATCCAATTATCTTGTTGTCACATTTATGAATATGGGATCAGTTGTCCTTTGTTTACCATGAACAAAGTTTGACTGTACCTTTGAGATTTAGCTTCGAAGATACGAGCAACTTTAAAGTAACTGTGTAAAAGTGTGTTTCTTTTACTGAACTTTATAGTTAGTTTTCTTTAGTAGTTATCCTACTTCAGAAATGAAGAAAAGCTTTTCCAAGAAATTTTAGGTTACGAGATAATCGTATGTTAATAAGAACGTCTCCTGCGCATTATCAGTAATGTAAACCTATTAGCGATGACCAAGCAAGTAAAGAGTAAGAGAGCTCCTAAGGTTTATTTTTCTAGAGAAAGCGAACTACAGAAGAGCAAGATCCAACCTTGAAGAAAGACGCTGTTAGAAAGAAGTTTACTGAGAAGTTGTGAAACGACATAGAAGAACTGTGAAGTGAAAGAGTCTCGATCTCTCTCTAAGAAAGTATTCAACGTAAAGCTCTTTTGGTTGTGAGAGTCCCTCACTCGCATCCCGCAAAGGGATCAGTCCCTTATCACTTCTGTTCTATTTTAAAATTTTTTTCAATGGCCGACTTTCGTGATGTAGTATCTGTGCTGCCATGCAGCCCAACTAATAAAGGCAAGTATAATCTTTGTGGCTGTACCAAAAAGGCTAACCGACAGTGAGAAATCAAGGTGTCCTTAATCCTGCAACATTAAAAAAGCGGCTGCTTTTGCAAATTGATTTGCGCCAAAAAGAGAGCATTTTTCAGTTTAATTCATTTCTCTGAGTCATTCTGCATATATGACATTCCGCATAATTATGTCATTCCGCAAGCCATGCCACATGCCATTCCGCAAACTCATTCCTCCTTTTACCCTCACCGTGTTAAGTGAGCTGTTCAGACGCACTTAACAGACGACTTCAAATTAGACGTTATAAATAAGTCTCGACGACTTAAAAGTTCAGTAGATAAAAACGGAAATTTTCGCAACAATGGTCATTGCGTGCTACTCCTAATTAAAAGACATTTTAAAAGTGTAATTTTAATTCAAAAATACCAGGTGCACGATGGAAAATTCAAGACCTTCTAAATCTCTATTTTGTCAGCCTTTTTCCTAAACCAACTGTCAGAAAATTTGTTTTCACACCTGGAGCATTTTAATGCCCCAGGGTGAAACAAATTAATGAAAATTACTGAGACTAAATCCCATTAACATTTATTATGGATAAAAACGTTGTTCTTTCACCTTCAGTTTTTTGATACATACTCAGACGAAATCATGTTCAAGTTAACAGTATTTCTGGCTTGTTTCGTAACTTCCTCGCTTCAAGTTTTGCGATCATGTCCAAAAGGATTCATTGGTTCCTGCGCATGTGAAGGTTTGTATACGATAACTCGATATTTTACAAATATTTTTTACACATGGTCACGTTTTTACTCTGTTACTGTGGTATACTGCGATACAGCAACGGAAAAATACTGCTACTCAGATTTCTTACCTTAACAGGAATGGCCATGTTCATAAGGGACATAAACCTTTCTAATTTCGATTGTGAGGCATAAATATTAGTTGACTTACGATGGCTTACACCGTAAAACGACATCAAAAGCTAACGTTTCTAATGCTATTCCCTCGGTAGAGATTCCAATTTAAACAAGATGAAATTTGACCTTAAAATTAAATCATAGATGTTTAAAAGTTTCCGGAAAAATATAGTTCGGCAAGGAAACTGCCCACCTACTCCTCACCTAAGTCAACGTTAAAACTTACTTCTGACTTAGGGGAAAATGTTGGCTTTGGGGAGGGGTTAGTGGGCATTTTCCTAGAAACCTACATTGAAGATTTCAACGTTAACTGCGGCCTCGAAGACACGTCATGGAGGTACTACCTAAGGAAAGGCAGAAGGAATAGTATCTTTTTTCAATGTAAAAATTATAATATTGCCTAGCATTTCCCTCAAATTTCGTGGCTATATAATCCCTCCAAACATAAAATCTTTATAGAGGT